CAATATAAAACGGTTAAACCCTAATTCAATAACAAAACATTATGTCCTTAATTTATTCAATACAGCTTTCAATATGATCTTACCATCCTTTATTTCTTACGACACTAAAATGATAATGCAAAAATTGATTCAAACCAACACACTCCTATGTTACAAGACCATCAACCACCCTATCATACTTTGTGTGATTGTTCCCGAGACTATTGACTTAGAGGATAAATAGTTTGGGACTTTGGGTCCTAAATCCACATAAGGTATTCAGAACTTTTACAAACTTTATTTTATGGAAACTAAATTGAAAATACAAAAAGAGACTCCCAACACTTCCAATATTATTATTTTTTTAACGAAGAAAGATATTTTATTTAGAAATGATTGTTATACAAGCAATGCCTATTACAAAAAAGGGGAGATTAAATCCAGAATATGGAACTAGGGGTGGCTATATGATCCGGTCCGGTTAAATTGATCCGGTCCCAGTCCGGTCTCTTCGAGAATATAAGGATCAAAGATTGGGTTGGATACAGTCTGGTCTTGACCCGGTTCGGTCCCAATATGAGATTGAATTTTAGGTGTTGGGGGTCTCTTATCCGGTTTTTTACCTTAAATCTAAGCCCGAATATGAGATTGGATTGTTTGCTATCTGGTTTCGTTCCGAGTTATACGGTCCGGTTTCGGATAAAACCAAACAGTCCGGACCAAATAGACAGCCCTATATGGAACCACTCATTTGGGAGAGCACCCTTACATGCCTCTTTAGCCACCCGATTTGCACTTTTATTACATTAACGATACACAAACTCAACTTTGATTCTATCATTGTGAGTGAGGAAATTACGCATACGTTGAATCAAAGTCATAATTTGCCAAAAACTTCTCTTGTCAAGTGAGTGAACGACGTCGATAACGATTTTGCAATGTGAGAGGATCCTTGTCCGAGGGACTGCAATGTTTTGAACACCTAAAAGTAGAATTATTTGGTAACCATATTAATTATTTTTAATATTTTTAAACCCCTCAACTTTATTAATCAATGCAAAATTCACAATTAAAAGGTCTTTAAGTAATAAATTTCATGAACAAAATGATAATTTAAAATGGAGAAAATAGTTGGGGGAGGGGGTGGGAAATGTAATGACAAGTATGATGGAACAGGAAACGTGTGTGGCAGGAGGTACGGCTATCAAAGTGGCCACTTGTCAATCTTTGCGTTTTCAAACTCACAGAAAGAACATTGTTTCATCCTCCAAGAGTCAAATGTGCGTTAATGAGAGCAGTATTAAGTAACCTGCTTCAGTAATACAAAAAGACTTCCCTTTTCTCTGCCGCCACTCTTTTCTCTGCTTCACTACCCCAAAACCCTACTACTTTCAACACCAAAGGTAAATTCCCTCCACAAAATTCCCAATTCCTCCTCCAAATTCTCAAGCTTTACGAACAACCATGATCTGGGTTTGTGTAAACATGATCTGGGTCTGTGTATTTTTTTCTGTAAATTGAATTCCAAAGACCGAAGCCTAGAAATGGCTGTGTATTAAAGTGTGACCGGATTTGGGGTTCTGGAGATGGCACCTTTCCATCTTCTGTTTACTAATTGATGAAACGAAATCTGGCGCTGCCAAGAAAGAAAAACTGATCAGTCTGCTGGGTCTAATGCCAATAAATGCGAGACCCGGGCTTTTACTTTCACCCCATGGCCATGGCCCCCAATTGGGACTGCCCTGCTTTTGGGGCTCTCTCTTCACATTTACTTCCCCGTCTCTCCCCTGGCTTCTGACGACTACCCAAAAAATCTCATCAATCCCATTCTGCTTCCTCTTCTTCTCTTTCTCATTTAAAGCTTCCGTCTTTAATGATTCTACATCTCCATTTCTTTTATCACTGCGGCAGTGCTCTCTCAAAGCTGGCTGTCTCTTTTCCTTTCTGATTCTGGGTTTTGTGTGTGTGGGTTTGTCAAGAAGAAGAAGAAGAAGAAGAAGAGGGGAAAGGAGGAGAGATGGGGAGGACTCCTTGCTGCGACAAAGATGAAGTGAAAAAGGGAGCTTGGAGCTCTGAGGAAGACCAAATTCTGTTTGATTACATCAACAAGCATGGCCATGGTAGCTGGCGTACCCTTCCTAAGAATGCAGGTATGTCCTTCCTTCCCTGTCTCTCTCGCTTTCTCTCAGATTGGCTTTTGGGTTTGTTGAGAGTAAAGACAGAATCGCAAAAAGACTTATCTTTTTGGCATTTTCCTTTCACTGTGCTAAGCTCTCTTACCCTGCCCCCATCACCCGCACGATTTGGCCTTCTCGTGAAATCTCTGTCTTTCTTTAGTTGTTTGCTTTCCCCCCCTTTTCACTGTCAGTTTCTGTCTTGCTTTACTTCAGAAGCTGTTTATGTTAGGGTTTGGTGGTTTGGAAGAATTGGGCTACTTGATGAAATTGGAAGGGAAACAATCTAATCTATTACTAGGATGAGTAATGTTGTGTACCATGTTTGTGAAACCATATTGGAGTTCCAATCAGTGAGTCTAGTTAGTTCAATCGGTGAGACTAATCAGTAAAGAGTAATTGAACATTATGGTCTTCAGCAATCATAGAGTCACTTGATTAAGAAGAGTCATTTATCTCGATTGTGGAATGATATCGGGGTTCAGATCGGTGAGTTCGAATGCTTTGAAGTAACAAGCACAACAATATAGAGGATGTTCAATGGGACAAACTAACGGTTCAAATCGTATACATAGTAGAATCATCATACGATCTTGTTAGCTTGCTCATTGCTACATAATTTAACCCGTATAACTGGTTTGTGCACGTTACGATATCATAAACAACAAATATTTGACATCTTTGAATTGTTAAAATGTTGGATGAGTGACAGGTCTTCTCCGATGTGGAAAGAGTTGTCGATTGAGGTGGACAAACTACCTTCGCCCTGACATCAAAAGAGGCCCTTTCACCCCTGATGAAGAAGCCACCATTGTTAGGCTCCAAGGCGAGCTTGGAAACAAGTAAGTATAAAACTCTCCAAACTGTCCTGCCTTCAAAGGAACTTCATACTCGAGAGTCCCCATTTCCCACCTTAAATAATCCTAACTTGCTGAAGAAATCACAGGTGGGCAGCCATAGCATCCCATATGCCAGGAAGAACGGACAATGAGATCAAGAACTTTTGGAACACTCACCTTAAGAAACGCCTCTCAACTCCCCCACCTGCTCTACCAAGCACCAACATCAAGATCGAGGGGGATTCCTCTTCCCCGCTTGCAACTACTACTCGTCACATTGCGCAATGGGAGAGCACCAGGGTGGAAGCCGAGGCTCGCCTCTCCTCCTTGCGGCCAGGACAACAACAACAGCAGCAACACAAGTTCGACCAGGACTACTATCTCAAACTATGGAACTCAGACATCGGCAAATCGTTTAGAGACATCAACAAGGTCCAGAAAGATGGCAGGGGAGGAGGTGGCTGCGAGAGCTCGACTTCACAAGCATCTTCCCTCACGAAATTGGGGTCTGGGTCTGTCGATGATGACACTCTCGCTACTACTACCCCCACTACTACTATGACGAAGACTTGTAGTGCAGCAGCCACCATCAAGAGAAGCGCTTCTAGCGAGGCAATCCACCACCAGCACGAGGTCGAGGGAGGGTTGTGCTACTACTACGAGGGAATGGAGGAGACGAAACCGTGTCATCTTGATGTGATGATGAGTAGCTCGGATTCCATCACTTCGACGACGAACGAATTCACGAATTACTCGGACACGGCGTTGAAGCAACTGCTGGATATCCCTGGTGGGAGTGGCATGGATTTCCTGGAGGACGAGAGCGATGACTTCATTAACTTCCTTGACCTCAGATGCGTCTGAGAAGAGAATCTGATGACAAAAAAAAGCTCACATCTAATCAACCCTATGTCTCCCTTTTTGTTTAACCTTATTAAGCTAGCGGTTTAGGTTCTCAACTGCGGTTTAGCGATGAATCAGGCTCCCCCCGCCACATTTGATCTCTGAGAAGACAGGAACAGCGGAAATGGGACAGCTGTTGGGGTGTGAAGAAAACAGAGCACCCCTGTTTTGTTCCAAACAGAATGACTGTCTTTTCTTTTTTGTTTTTTTCCCCATCTTGTTGTAAGATGTTGAAAATGTGGCGGAAAGGTTGAAAACTTTGTGAATTTAGGGTTCATTGAAGAGTAAGGAGATCCAGAACTAGAATGCAAGTTATATAAGAAAATTCATGAGTTTCGAGTTCGCTCAATTCAGGAAGAAGTAACTGTTATAGTTGAAAGGTTGAAATATCTTTGTCCTGTTTTTCTTCTCCTTTGTACTGAACATTTTCCCTTGGCTCTCACTGCTTGTGAAGCTGTGGGTTTCTTGGCTTTCCTTTGTCTTGAACAAAAATATTAAAGTTCTCACCATTATATAAAAAAACTGTTTTGATAAACAATGTTGTCCTAACTTTGATCCAAACTTGGAAAATTGTATCGAAAATAGTATTTTGTGCTAAAATCTTCGTTCAATAATCTCATTCTACTAAAAATTGCATACTAATACAGATTCCAATTATAAGGTTTTCTCCAATCATTAATAGAGTACGATTTCAAAAATTTTGATTGTATCCCAAACCTGATTGAAATCGTAAATGTAAGGGCACTTGTTCTCTTGGCTGTATTTTGTCCCAATGTCCCCTCCACAGCTCGTCCTTTCTTTCAAATCACCACTTCCACAGCTCTCAGGCAATCAAACCACACTCTCAAACAAACATCAATTCCGTGAGAAAGTACCCGCGGGAGAACCGATGAATCAAGTGTTCCACTGGTATGATATTGTTCGTTTCGGGTCAAATCCTCATAAATTGACCTTTAAATCAATGTGTACCTGGATTGTCGTATAATTTGACAGACAATCTTGTCCTAACTTTGGTCCCAAACATAAGTTATGTCCCCTTCCTAACTGAAATCGTGAATGTTAGGGTACCTGTTCCTCTTGGCTGTATTTTGTCCAAGTGTTCCCTTTCATAGCTCATCATTTCTTTCAAACCACCACCTCCAAAGCTCTCTCAGGCCAATCAAACCACACTCTCAAACAAACATCAGCAAGAAACAGAGACCTTAAAGAATAGATTGAACAAATTTCATTACCCCAAACTATCATATCCTGAAAATGCTGTGTTTATATACACCACAAAATTACAAACATACCAAATAATACATCAGCAAGCAAAAATCACACACATACAAATACGCTGCAAATCACAAACAAGCTGCAAATTCAATTTTTTTCCTGGCTGCCTATAATGAATCTATGAAAGCCGTACAAACAAACTAGAAATGTTTCATGAGTAACAAATTGTAGTTTTGGTGAAATATGATGCGAAGGGATATACATCAAACCGAATACTAAAAAGAAAAAACGGAAGGATCTTGTTTTTGGGTTTAGAAACAGCCGTAGCCAAGTGGGTTCTTTGGGTTAGTCCCTGTGGCGCGATACTTTGCAGCAATCTCCTCTGCTTTCAGCAGCTCTTCGCCTCGTTTCGCTTCGGTTATGGCTCTCTTCTCCTCGGCTTGCTTGTGGATTTCGGCGATCTTGTTCTTCATCTTCTCGGCGTACTCTGCTTTCTTCTTCTCCAGTTGTTCCTCTAGCTTCTTGAGCTCCGCCTCTATGTTCGCTTTCTTGCTGTTCTCCCATGACTCGATTGCAGAGATCTTCTTCTGAGCTCTGGTTCCCGGAAAACAGGGCAAAAACCCAATTAGGCACTGGAAATGGAGAAAAGGGAAGGGAATGAAATGAGAGTTGGAAGGGTTTTCTTCTTACTTGTTCTCAGCTTTGCTCTTCTCGGCCTCTTCCCAAGCTTTGATGAGAGAAGTCCGCTTCTCTGTTTCAACTCTGGCAAGCACAGCATCTAAAAACCCACACCCATACAGCAAACAAACAAACAAACAAAGGAAAAAAGTTACTTCCTTTATTCAACCAAACCGAAGCTATGAAAATCTGGATCTCAGAAAGGGAAAAGGGTTTGTGAATTACCTCGATTGATAGAGCCCTCGGCAGGCTTTGCCTCTTCCACTGCAGCTTCTGCCACCTCTGTTTCCCAAACCAACCAACCAACCACAAAAAAAAAATCAATTCTTGTATGCATAACAAAGATTTCTGAGGGAATCTGGGGACATGAAAAGGGGGAATTCTATATATCCATAGCAAAATTTAACAATATGCATTTATGATGCGGCAGTCAGTCAGTGGCTCACTCTCTAGCAAGTCATCTCAAAACAGAGTAAAAGGGTAAAAAAGAAACGAAATTTTGGCAGAGTTGCAACAAAATAATCAGAACCCAGAAAGCAGAGTGGAGGGGAAGGAAGGTAATTACTCTCAACGGGTACGATGGCCTTCGAGTCATCAGGTTTATCAGACTTGTCCTCTGAAGGAGGAGTGACCGGAATTACGGATTTCTCCTCGGCCACATCCTTTGGTGGTTCGACAGCAGGAGCTGCAGCTGCCGGAGGATCGGCGGCGGGAGGGGCGGGGGCAGGGCATTCGGGCTCGGCCTTCTTAGCTTCTTCTTCTGCCATGGATTAGAACGTTGGGAAGCCGAAAAGGAGAAAGATGGTAAAGTAAGGAATTGAGGGGTGTTGTGGGAAGAGAAACGGAAAGGGGAATGAATAACGGAGAAGCTGCTGTAGAAACTAGAAAGGAAGGGAAGGAAAATGAGAGAAGAGAGGGTTAGGGTTGGGGTTGGTTGTGATATTATAGTTGGGGTTGGCAAAGGCGGGTAACGTCTACTGTATAATACTCTCTCTCTCTCTCTCTCTCATCTTTGAATTTTAATTTTAATCTAATATGACAATCCCCTCCTTGAATGCTTCCATAAATTTCCATGAAATAACAATCCAAATCTTTTTTTTTTTTTGGTAAATACAATCCAATTCATTGGTTGGTCCTCCTTGTTAATTTCCTTTTAAGAATATAGAATATCAATTCCAAAATTTTATTCAATTTTGTAAATTTATTTACACAAAATCAAGATAAACAAATCGAGCTCCTCCACCTTCTCCATAAAGCAAATCCAATCGAACAAAGCAACATTCCATGATCTAGGAAAATTAAATCAAAAGTGGCAATAATGTTCTTTTTCTTAATCAAATCATGTATAACTGTTCTACCTAAAAAAAATCATGTATAACTGGAGTAGTGGTGGTGGCTCCAGCCTGTTAATTACTTCTTTGCTTAATCGAGATTCCTTGCTGAGAGGAAGAATCTTTTTTTATTTGAGGGACCAGGTTGTAAAGATTACTAAACTTGGGAAGTTAGGATAGTTGGTGGAAATTAATATATTGATCTCTTTCACTCCACCTTCTTTTACTTAATTTCATGCCAGGACTTGCATAAACCCCCCAACATAATCTATGGACAGCACGAATTGTGAAGGTCGAAAAGCCATTTACCAACTAGATATATAGCAATTAAATGGGTAAGTTCATTCATTGTGACGATGATAAACCAAGTTATTAATCTAAGCCTATGCATCCCGTGGTGGATCCAGAAATTTTATGTAGGGGTGTTCTCTTCTAAAAATTTAATTAAACTAATAATTAAATAATAAAAATATCTTCTCACAAAAAAAATCTGGCTTGTACAATATACAACAAAAGGACATGATGTGTTTCGTATTCCGCAAACATTGTAAAATACAATCGGTGACTAACAATGCAAATCTCTCTCGATATATTCTACTAGACAAGGGGAGTTCGCAATTGGGTCCAATCGTTAGCTTTTGAAACTAATTGGGGATAAGGAATAGCTTTTTACTAGTATATTTGGATTTAAAATATAAGAACAAATGAGTTGTGGTGTAATGAAAAATATGTTTTCTAATAAGAGCAGCGACCCAAGTTCAAATCACATAAGCTACCACTTAAACGTTTTTGTTTGCATATACACAAACTACTATCGGTGGTTGGATAATCATTTTTCCAAATTTTAAGAGTGTCTCACTATCACTTAAATATTTTTCACCCATATGCAAATTACTATCGGGAGTTAAATAATCGTGTTCCCAAATTTTAGGGGTGTCCCCAAAGTGTCATGTATCCGCCACTGTAATGCATCAATGTCGAAAATGTGACACAATGAAGGTCACCCGAAACACGGGAAAAATGACATGTGAAGCTTTAGAGTTGAATAATATGTTTCAATAAGTTGATTCTAATACGGTCTAATACATAGAATTTTGTGTATATCTGGTTTCAATTTTGCGTGGTTTTGAATTTTGATGAATCAACTTATTGGTGTAAATGAATATTGACATCTACATGTTGGAGTTCACGAGTTCAAATCTTCTTCAATAATTCAATGCTATCTAACAAAAATGGTCATAATAACTTCATATTCAAATAAGGAACTCACAGAGTAAATGACATTTTTTTTATGGATTAGAAAGGTGGGGAAAAAGGAATAGTGCATGGATAAGCCTATTAATTCCCAATTATTAAGTGTATGGTTGAAATGCATAGATTTCTGAAAAGGGTGCATCTGAGGATGTCCTTTGTTTGGGATTCCTGGTTTGATTTGTTGATGAGGATTGCTTAAGTACGTTGATAAAATTCACATCCTCATGTATATATATAAGAAGAAATCATGTGTTTTATCATTTTCCAATCGAGTCGCTCAAGAAAAGTATTGCCAAATATTCATTTGGGTTCACAACTAAATTCCTATTAAAATCAATCCAACATCTCAGCCACCTAAGGGACACTATCATTCTCGGGAAGAATATACTTCAAATCTCCGATACAAAAGATATTTGAAATCTCCAAAAATATCGTAATATAAGTTACAAAACTAGAGCAAGTTGTAATACATATATATCCTATCCAATAAATCTTATTCGATTTTCAATTTATATGAATGAAATGCGTAGAGCTTAGCTTGAACAAAGCTTAGCTAAGCATTGTGGAAACTCCAACCTGTCGACGGCCAGTTTAAAATAATTTTCCACTTTCTCCAAAGCAATAAATCGTTGGATTACTTCACATCGTGGTGCTGATTTCGTCAATTAGCGGTATCACGATGAACTGGATTAATCAAAAGATACTAATTTGTTTTTCTCCCCTTCTTAGGCGTGTGATTGTTTGATGTGGACGCAGCTTAATTGAGACAGCAGTCTTACGTATTAGCCACTCAAGCACCAGCCAGACCATATACATCCAAAATCCCTAATGGCTGCAGACAAGAAAGAAAAAAAGATGTCGATGATTAAGAAAGAACATTAAGCATGAGCTAATTGGAGACCAAAATTGAAGGAAGGTAATCTGGCTGTTTCTGGATCTGTCAATGCACATGCTATGTAAAGACTAGCGATCCACATGTGGTGTGTACTGGTTTTTTTTTTATCGAGAAAAATGAAGGTGAGGTAAGTGAGGATTTCGTCTAAAATGGGTACACTTAAAAATATATACACAAGATTAAATACAATGTTTTCATAATCGAATCGGACATTGAACCGGAAAAGAAGTCAATAATTAATTGTTCAACAGCTAACTATTCTAGAACCATTGGTTAACCGTTGACAGAACTGTCGATGCTCTATAACATAAAAGACATATATCACTAATTTAGGATTAAATTTATCACTAGCTAGTCATAAACAATCTCAAATCCATATTATCTATCACAAAAAAGTACTAACAAAGTTTCCAAACTATCACACAAAAGAAATCATAAATTATTTTATTAAATTCAAGTTATTAATGTGAGTGACAGATCGTAGTGGTACACAGAAAGTCGACAAGAAGACTAGGAAAAGAAGAAAAGAAAGCATAAATAGAATTAGTGATTGAGGCGGCATGATCTTAGTTTAGGTTAAGGTTTTTTTCTTGATTCTTTGTGGTTAAAATAGTGAGCCAGTGGACTAGTAAAATCGGGGGCGGCTCATACGATTTCAAGTCAAACCGTTAAAAATTGTCCGAACACACCCCTAATCATCCAATCAAATGAATTAAATCGCTATTGTAACTGGTTTAGTAGTTCTACTAGCACAGTCATTGATCCGGTTCGGTTCTTATAACAATGATTATATCGATTTTGTTAAATATTTTAATTATTCATTATATAATCTTATATTTGGAAAGGTTTGGTAAAATATAGTACATTAGTATTTGAAACTATCAAGAATATCACTTTCTATGTACCAAACAATTATAATTAGTTGTTGACTTTCGAATGATTTTTTTCAAGAACCAGACTATTAATTTGTTAGTGCATTAGAGATTGATCGATAATTTTTTCTCCAACTCTGAAAATGAGGGTCACTTGGCAAGAAATTATCTGAAAATGGGGCATTCCAGAATTCCAATCAAACATTAAGATTTGATGACTTCGTTGTCATCACATATGAGTTGCTGTTTTTGGCTGGCGCAATGCCTAATGCCTTGTTTACAGCCACGAATTCTGATTTGGCTGTCTGGTGCAGTATAATCATGCTTCCGTATACCACAAGCCATGGAACCATCTCCAATTCTTTGACTCTTATCTAATCATTCATTTCGATAACCTAACTTTCCCCATTTCATCAAGTGATTGGAATTTCCACAGAAAACCGGTTCAAAAGGCAACTCAATCATTCTCGAAAGTTGGTGGTGCGCCACAACAAAACTTCAATGCCAACACATGCTTTTCTTCTCATTGTAGATGGATTGAGGATAGAGTTGCCAGTTTGGTTTCAAAATGGATTTGCATTCATGAACTAATGTCATTGTGGACATTTTGATCAGTGGAATCCATCATCGTTTTAGTTATGTCTATCGTAAAATTTCACGAACGCAAAATTTTATAACAATAAGAGTGTGAAACTAAGATAATATTCAATAACTTGCAAGCACTTGAAACGGTGGTGGAAGAAGGAGGCTCGTAGCATGTCATTTGGCCACTTTTGAAGTTTGCTTACTACATAGTAATCACATGTTGAACCGTCACATAAAATATTTAGATGCGTTTTTATTGGACTTGGTTGTACGTTGGGTTTAGTTTTGGAGTGTTTTTGCAAATTGCCATTACCTGTGTGTTCTCTGGAGAAGGGTATTTATATGGCTTGTTGTACGTTTGCATAAGCTAAGAAACCCTAAGCTGCTGCACCCTCTTTTCATAGTGGAACCTCATCATGAGAGTTGTGCTCTCCGTGGATTAGTCCCGGTTTCCGGGGATACCACGTAATTCTCGGTGTTGTTTTCTTTCCGCAATCGCAATATTTTATGGTATCAGAGCTATACGATTCAACCTAGCGCTTCATCTTTGAGTCATCCTGGGATCGAAGGCTGAGATGACTGATGGCGACAAACCGGCTGGCTCTTCGAGCGTCGAGCTCATTCCGATCAGCTCTCCCCTTTATCTCCACCCCTCAGAAAATCCTGCTCAACAGTTTGGTAGCGATTTGTTGAACGATCTTAATTACGGTGAATGGGTGAATGACATCACCGAAACCCTAATCGCCAAGAACAAGCTTGCTTTCGTCGATGGATCTCTTTCCCGCGCGCAGGCTGGTTCTGCTCGTCATCAAGAGGCTTGGATCGTTGCGATGCCACCGTCAAAGGCTGGTTGAAGACCGCGATGACTCGCGAGTTTCGTAACAGCGTCCGCATGGCCACTACTGCGAGTGCAATCTGGACCGACCTTCAACGACGTTTCAGTCGTGGTTCAGCACAACGCGCGTATGAGCTACGCCGTACGATTGTTGCTTTGCGACAAGA